CTCCTTCCTACCCTCTTCCCTCCCTCCCTCCTCCTCTCTCTCTTCTCTCTCTCTCTCTCTCTCTCTCTCTCTCTCTCTCTCTCTCTCTCTCTACCTTTGCTTCTATAACAGATATTGCTTTCTGTCTGCAGTGCTCGGTGACGTGTGGCAAGGGCCACAAGCAGCGGGAGGTGCTGTGTGTGGACGTGGAGGGGAACACCATCGACAGTCAGGCGTGCGAGGACAGGCACAGCAAGAAGCCGAAGGCTACACGCCGCTGCCACGCCGCCACCAAGTGTCCGCGGTGGAGAAAATCACGCTGGTCCAAGGTAGGAGTGCAGGGTGCAGGCAGGAGAGGGGAGGGGAGGTGAAGGGAGGTGGGAAGTGTGAGGGATGAAGCAGGGAGAGGTGAAGCAGGGAGGTGGGAGAGGTGAAGCAGGGAGGTGGGAGAGGTGAAGCAGGGAGAGGTGAAGCAGGGAGGTGGGAGAGGTGAAGCAGGGAGGTGTGAGGGATGAAGCAGGGAGGTGGGAGAGGTGAAGCAGGAAGGTAGGAGGGATGGGGCAAGAAGGTTAGAGGGATGGGGCAAGGAGGTGGGAGGGGTGAAAGAGGAAGGTGGGGTGAAGTAGGAAAGGGGGAGGTGGGTGGGGCAGGGAGGGGAGGGAAGGAGTGGATTGAGTGCAAGGTTTGGAAAAGGAAAACAGACTAAGTGTGACACTGGGTGCATAGGAGGGCTGGGTCCGTGGCGATGGCAGTGAGGCAGGCTGGGGGAAAACTGGAATGAGTAGATGAGGGCAGGGTTTGGAAGTTGGTCTTCTTATCACAACTGATCATGTGAAGCGGTGTGACTATCCCCCTAGTGTAGGTAACGTCCTGTGTGCGGGATAGGCTGATGAAAACACAGACAGCGATTTGCAGCTTACTTACTAAGTGATGATAGACTAATCATAGATTAATTAGAGCGTAGTACTAGTTAACAATTATTAAATATGTAATCGTCATAGATTCATTGTAGATTAATTACAGACTAATTGCAGAGTGAATGTTGGTGGATTGATCTGTTTAAAGAGTCATTGCAATCACCATTTAATTGATAGTTATTAATTAGTAATTTAACAGTGCCCCTTACTGGGAGAGTTCTGTTCTGCTTTGTCTCGTGTGTTCCGTGTTCGGCTGCAGCCTCGGCCACCTAGACGGCGCCACATGTCACGTGATGATGCACGGCTGGTGGCGCCACCACGCTATTGCTATATTAACCCCGTGTGCTTCTACTACCATTATTCACTGATCTAAATATATATATAAATAGATAGCAGCTATATATATATATATATAGCAGCTGGTTGACACGTTGTCCTATCATTGCAGTACTAATGGTTGAGGTTGATATATTAGCCAGTCAAAAATTTATTTCACTGCTTGTTTGCAAATTGCAGTAAACCCTTAATTGCTCATAATCCGATTTTCGGACCAACCAATATGGCGGCCAAGTGACATCGCATACTACCTACACAATCTGCTGTCGTTCAGTTGTTACGAGTAGCTCAATGGCTTCGTTAACCTGTCTGTCTTGACACGCGCGTCGCCCCCTGGTGGCAGGTGCAATCATCTTATTCGCAGCCATGCAGTGTTGATACTTGGTACGATGAAGCGCGCGGCTGGCTCAGATCTTACTAGACGATCTACGGTTGCTACTGGCAGACATGTTAAAGGGACAGAAATTAGCATTGTTGGGTGCTGCGTGTACGTTGTACATGCATTCCAGTTTATCCGTGCAAAATCCCCGTATTATACTGGACCGTGTGTGTAAACGGATACACATCCCCCTCCCCTCCCCCACCACCACCACACACACACATACGCCTTCCACACACCTACAGCGTGTCATCACACCACGCCGGCTATCTCGCGGGGCATCGTGCGTGCGTGCGGGCTGCGTGCGCACACGCACACGCACACGCACACGCACACGCACACACACGCGGCGTCGTCGTGTCGTTGCAGTGCTCGGTGACGTGCGGCCAGGGCGTGAAGACACGCAGCGTCGAGTGCAAGCTGCGACACTCCAACCACATCGTCGACCAGTCATACTGCCTGCCGACCAGGAAGCCGCCAGCCGTCAAGCACTGCCTACGCCAGCAGTGCGGCTACTACCGCTGGAAGACGTCCAAGTGGTCCGAGGTAAACTACGCAGAGGAGGAGGGTAGGGGAAGAGGAGGGGCAGAGGAGGAGGAGGCAGAGGGGAGGAGGAGCAGGCAGAGGGGGAGGAGGAGCAGGCAGAGGGGGAGGAGGAGGGGATACATAGGAAGGTGAGAAGGTGGGAAGCTGTGGAGAAAGAATATAGATAGTCCACGTGGTACATGTTTTGAGACGATTCATGTTATTACAAGCTGAAGATAGCAAGGGACAGATATGGGTAGGAGGTCGGGGGTAAGTCATAAATCGATACGTAACGGAGTTGGAGAAGGTGGCAGTTAGAAGTGGTAGGTGGGCAGCAAAAGTTGCTGACTGATTGCTCCGGACTTTAGTTGTGAAGATTGGTCGAAAAAGAAAATTATAAAAAATAGAAAGATAAATGCTAAGTAAACGGTATATAGTTTGCACTGGGGAGACCTAGAGGATTACAGCTGATAAGGGAAAGACACTGGAGTAGACACGGAAGGACACAGTATGTGGCTATTATTGGGATCGGTGTACTGGTGGGGGCAGTATAAGAGGTATGCATGCCAGTAATTGGGGAAAGCTCGATTTTCTCCATGTAGAATCAACGAGGCACAGAGCGTCGGTCAGTCAGCATAGAGTAGGAAGTAAATAAGTAAGAGTAGGGAAGGAACTAGTAAGAGTAAGTAAGGGTAGGGAAGGAACTAGTAAGAGTAAGTAAGACTACCTATTAAGGCGGGTTAGAGATTGCCGGCTGATGAACCAGTGAGAGGTACGTAAGTAACGTAACACATATATAACACACATCACGGCGGGCGTGAGATTAATAGCGTTACAAATATTATACTAGCTATACTAAGAAGGATGATGATGATGATGATGATGATGGTGATGATGATGATGGTGACGATGATGATGGTGACGATGATGATGGTGGCGATGATGATGGTGACGATGATGATGGTGACGATGATGATGGTGATGATGATGATGATGACGACGGTGACGATGATGATGATGATGACGACGACGACGATGATGATGATGGTGACGACGATGATGATGATGATGACGATGATGCTAATGACGACGATGACAATTATGATGATAATGATGAAGACACTAACTGTAGTACATCGGTAAACTCCCACTAATTGGCGCGAGAAGTCGTTGCGTTCGCAAGCGTCTGCATTTTGCATTGTTTGAGTTCGGCCACGCAGAAAGTTCTGCTGCAAATTTGCTTCTGCATGACGATACGGTGTAGCAGTGCTGCGCATTTGTTGCCACAGATGATGTACCATTTAAGTGAGTCATGGATGAACTTGCTGATATCATATATATATATAGATATATATACATATATATGTGCGTGCGTGGGCGTGCGTGCGGGCGTGCGCGTGTGTGTATTATATAGAGAGAGGGACGAACGAGTTGAGAGACGGAAAAGAACGAGAAAGAGAGACAGAGAGAGCGAGAGAGAGAGAGAGAGAAAGGAAATGAGAGAGGAGAGGAGCACACAGCAAGTGTATCACATGTAAACTCACTGACGCTCTAATACACTGCTTATTCTTGCAATGTCGTTGCACTCGAGAGTAGATAAATGATAAGTCATACACATGAAAGTTTTGACGATATGTCATCTTATCTACCACCTGGCGACTAGGCGCTCTCGTGGCTGTATTCAAGACTAGTTACCTATACTGTTCTTATGTCCTGGCTTCATTTGGCGCGAGCGCATTTGGTGTGCCTAGTGATGCTCACTTGTCTTACTGTGCTGTTCACTTGTTCTACTCAAACATTAATCTGTTCTTTGTGCCCGTCGCTAGGCATTGCGGCGCTTATCCGTTTTCACTAAGACGTTCACCTGTTTTACTAAAGATGCTCACTCGTTTTTCTTCCACTAAGACGTTCACTTGTTTGTCGCTCGCGTAAAAGCGCGTTACCACGAACAAGCTAACATCACTCGGCCTCCACGTCCCAAACTCCCTCCCCCCTCACGCACTGTTACTGCGATGTGGCGACGGCGCCCTCTCGTGGCGACGCAGATGAGCAACGTGAATAGCCTTTGCGGCATGACGCATGTGGTTGCAGTGCGCGACGACGTGCGGTCAGGGAGTGCGTCAGCGGAGCGTCACGTGCGTGACGCGCGACGGACAGGAGGTACCAAGTAACTACTGCGACGCACGCTACAAGCCGCGATCGGCCCATCGCTGCAACATGGGACCGTGCCCGTTCATGTGGCATGCGACTGACTGGAATCAGGTGCTGTGTGTGTGTGCTTGCGCGCGGCTGCGTGCGTGTTATTATCTGTCGTGGATCCCTTTACGTGTGGGCACGTCTCGTTTTCTCTCTGTTGTGTGTTCCGTGACGCGAGATCTCGCGAGGTTTCGATTCGTAAGACGAGTGGGAATAGGAGCGAGAGTATGGTCGTGAGAGAGAGAGAGAGAAATGATGTATCATGATGTATCATGATGTATGATGACGTATCATGATGTATCGTGATGTATGATGATGTGGTGATGATTGCATCTGTGTAGTAAGCTAACCCATCTAAAGATGATATGTGATGATTGCTCATGATGATGTAGCATGTTGTTGTGTTATGTACCATGATTATATTTGATGTGATATGGTAATGTATTATGTCCTTGTGTGACCTATCATGATGATGTAACATGTACCGTAATGATGTACGATGTATCATGATACATGATCATGATGCCATCTGCAAAGGTCCAGAACGTGTCTGCGATTTCCTGATGGTGGTCACGTGACTTTAGGAGCCAATCGTAGCTGTTGACGATGTCGTCGTCATTGTCGTTCAGGGGCAGTGTGCTAATGTTGTGTTGTCGTGATTGCTTTCAGCCAGCTGGTTGTAACCATAGCATTCACACAGCAGACGTGACGGTCGACTCATGCGGCGTCTGCAACGGCGATAACTTCACCTGTCAGTCAGTGACCGGCTACTTCAACCGCTCAAAATATGACCAGCTTATTTATGGTGAGTGTCGTGTCGCAACTTCTCTGTGTTTCCCCACCAGAGGGAGCTTTTACAGGGTTCGCACTGGTGCTTATACCTGCTTGAAAGTGATCACAAACTCAGATTCTGAATTATGGCCATAAAAACATAATAAAACGGGGGTTTTCTTGTTGTTGTCACAATATATGTTTACTTTTCATTTTTCGTATACTTGTAAAATGATTTTTTGTGTGAAAGTTGTTTGATGTGAATTAAAAGTTGTTGTTTTTTTTCCCTATATTCTTTTGAATGTGTGAAATGATACTTTTGTTGTTAGGCTACCACTAACCTAACAGTACCTAGTAAAAGTGTATATTACTTGCTTAAGGGAAAATTGCAGGAATCATAATAAACCCTTGTTTTAACGCTCAAATTTGGCATAAAAATTGCTTACTTTTGATTTCTCCAATGCAGCATGAACCCTGTTTTAGCTCTGTTTTATCTATCGTAAATCTCACTAGAGAGAGCTCTCTGCAGTGCGGTGCCGTCGGTGCCACGGTCACAGATGTACTTGTGTTTGTGCTTTCATGTTTTCTCATTCTTGTTCACAGGTTACAATGAAATTGCAAGAATACCGGCTGGTGCCACTCTCCTTGACATCCGGCAAGGCCACAACAACTTCCAACAAGATGACAACTACCTCGGTGTGTACCATTCATTGCAGATAACATAATCACATTGCAGCTCTGAAGACAACCAAAGACATGTAGATACACTACTGTGCTTGCATGAGAGTTATTCTTCCAACACTTACGCTGCATTATAAACATAATCACATTGCAGCTCTGAAGACAACCAAAGACAAGTACATACACTACTGTGCTTGCATGAGAGTTATTCTTCCAACACTTACGCTGCATTATAAACATAATCACATTGCAGCTCTGAAGACAACCAAAGACATGTAGATACACTACTGTGCTTGCATGAGAGTTATTCTTCCAACACTTACGCTGCATTATAAACATAATCACATTGCAGCTCTGAAGACAACCAAAGACATGTAGATACACTACTGTGCTTGCATGAGAGTTATTCTTCCAACACTTACGCTGCATTATAAACATAATCACATTGCAGCTCTGAAGACAACCAAAGACA